TGGGTAGCTCAGCCTAGTGGCCTTGTGTTTGGTGTACATGCTCCGGCTGCCCATGTACATGGAGGAGCAGCTGGCCCCACCCGTGTGGCCCATTCCTCCAACAGTGTAGAGGTGTGCATCTTGCTGCATCTGCCTTTACATGCTTCCAGCCTGCTGCAAGTCAATCCGGCCGAGCAAGGAAGTTGCTTTTCACGACTCAGGCTAGCTATTTGCCCTTCTGTCCATCTGAGCTTCCTGAAAAGCTCTTACAGGCAGTGTAAAACTCATGACAAAATTTGTTTTGGCAGTTAATTGGTCACCATCACAGACATTCTTCAAAATCCTCCATATTTGCTTATCGAAGTGCTGTAGATGTTGCACTCAGCAAAAGTTTGTAAAATTTGGATGGCCTTGTTTGTTTCTGCTTAAATTGTGTTGACTTCTAATGTTTGTCATCTTATGAATTTCTCAAATAAAGGAACAAAACAGCAGTGTTCCACCTCTTAATTTAGTAGCTGCAAACAGGAGCGTCCTGACTGTGAAAAGTGCGCTCTCCTGTGCTGAAGGAAGTTGATTTGATGTTGCTCTTAATGGATATTAATTAAAATATATGCTATACTGAAAAATGTGGAATTATTAAATATTGCTATTAACACAAGTAAATGAAGATGACAAGGGGATTTTTTTTCTGTCACAGGAAAACTGACCAAAATTCATGTAATGTGATGAAAACTTTGTTTTGTCAAGAGAGAAGTTTTCAGTGATAGGAACCATTTTACTGGAAATTATCCAACCAAGCTGCACATAACAATTGGAAATGTTACCTGAAAAATACTTCAAAGAATATAAAATATAGAATAATAGAGTGCTTTACCTTAGGTGTAAGGAGACTAGTTTTTTTTTTCTCTATACTGCCTAGCTGATTAAATACAGTCTTGAACTCCATAGGTGAGGTAAGAAATTAATTCATTTAAAACTTTTGTTTGGAAACAGAAAATTGCAAACCTTTATCTAGAAAGTGGCTCTAGTGATCTCAAACATAATGTGTTGCTATTTGAGAAATCTAAATTTCTGAATTTCAGATACATCTAAAACCTGAAGTTGGCTCTAGAAGCAAACTATAGTTTGCTGATCTGGGAGCTGTAACCATAAATTGAAAAAAGGTGGAAAATGTAGTGAGTTTCCTGTCAGACAGATAATCTGTATAATGTAAACGCTCTTCATGGGAGCCAAAGTATTTAATGTTCTTCAATTTCTCTTGCTTGCCATTGACAGGCGGATT